GTTGTGATGTTCGCTATACACAACTTAAAGAAAAAACCATGACTGTGTCAGAATGTCCATTGGACTGTGTGTGTGTGTGTGTGTGTGTGTGTGTGCGCGCACAAGCGAACCTCCCCACACCTGGCTGCATAGAGACCATGCACTGCAACTTTTATTTGACAGTTAATGAATGGGCTGCAATTCTCTCGTCCTCCTCCTCCTCCTGCTGCAGCTGCTGCTGCTGCTGCTGCACCACCAACCGAAAAATCGGATATGGTAATACATCAATCCATCCATCAGGAAAAATTGGATTGTGAATGGTGCAAGATGGATGATTGGGTGCTGTTGAGACTTGCGTGGGTTTGTGAGAGCCAATCCTTTTCTTGTACATCTTATATTGTGTGGAGTGCTGACAGAGTCTCCCCGGGACCCAGTTCTGCAGCGAGGATGACAGTGAGAAGAAAATGAAATGAAATGAAATGGATTGCATGACTCGAGAGCTCCTAACTTGTCTCATTGGTAATGCACTCTTTCTCTGGCTTATAGAGTCCTAGCAGCTCTGCGGAAGAAGCAGTGGACGAAGCAGTTGTGCAGCACCGGTACCTGTACAGGGGTTGAAGGAGACAGGGTAAAGCAATAGTTGTAGCAGTGGAAGCAGAATGGCTTTGTTAGCTAGGCTTCAGATAAGAGCTTCACAGTTCTTCCTCATCATGATTATCTGCCAGATTCCTATTTTCAGGTACTTCTGCATCACTCTCTCTCTCTCTCTCTTTCTCTCGGCCCCACCTCTCTCTCTCTCTCTCCGTGAATTGTCTCTTTCTCTGTCTGCATTTCTCTGTTTTTCTCTGTCTCATTCCCTCTTCCTCTCTCTATTTCTCTCACTTCGTCTGCATTCTCTCTCTCTCTCTGTGTCTGTCTCTGCAGTTCTGTTTCTCTGTCTTTCCCCGTGTCTCCCCCTCTCCCTGTGTCTCTCTCTATGCTTATGTCTGCCTCTGCCTCTCTGTCTTGCTCTTTGTGTATTGCTTTCATTTTTTTGTTTGAAAGCAAAATGAATTGGGAACATGGGTGACTGACTATGGCCAATTGCAGAAAATGAATGGACAGAGTGTGGCATCTCGTTCCGCACTTGTTTGGTTATGCCCGTGCTCACCCGCACTTTGAGAAAGGAGGACTAGATGTGTGACCCAAACCAGAATTTCATTTTCCTGTGCTCTGCTTTGTTCCTTTCTCTCCCACTTTTTGATGTGCATGATGTGTGCATGACGTTTGGATGTGGGGAGTATCCCATCATGACCAAAATTCTCTGTTTGTAGTACCTTTGTACTCATCTCTCTGATGTCAGGAAATCGGACGACAAATTTATGACTCCTTGCTTGCACAGATTCTCTCTCTCTTTGCTGAAATAGCCAAGGCAACAAATTTACGACTCCTTGCTTGCACAAATTCTCTCTCTCTTTGCTGAAATAGCCAAGGCAATTGCTCTCCATTGTCGTTCTGATGTACGGCAGGCCCCTTCTGCTCCACCCCGCACTTCCGTCTTTCCCCCAAGGAGCACACATGGTTATTATCGCTCTATCTAGACCCAAAAAAGTTGGCCCCAGAAAGTATAGCTATGGCGTTTGTACGTTCTATCTATTCGGGGAAAGACGGTAGGGGTTTGGCAGTAACCGGCATTGTTTGTTTTGACGAGCAGGATGAGGTCGAGCAACTTTAGTTCTGTAACTCTTTTCTTTCTCTTCCCCCCCCCCCCCCCCCCCCCCCC